CAGGAAATATCACTGACATAAAATCAAGCTGAGTTAATGGAAATGAAGGATGCAATAGAGTAAATTAAAAATTCAGTGGAAAATCTCAATAATAGAATGCAAGAGGCAGAAGAAAGAATCTCAGAATCGCAAGTTTCTTATGGGTACTCAGACCTATGAGGCCAGTTATCCTGCACAGGTGCAGGCTGTGACCCTGTGCCAGGGAACAGTTCTCTTCTTTGGTAGATCTTATAAAGAGAAACATGAAGCTGAATCCACCAGGAAGTTGTAAACTGAAAACAGAGCAACTACAAATATCATTATTATCAGAGAGCTACTTAGTGTCAGAGATCAAGCTCGATCTGGCGAAAGATTATTTCATTGTGTCTTTACCCTGCACTTCATGACAGCATTGAACTTGAGGTCTGCCCTCAGCTCTGTGCTTTCTGCCATGGCCTTAGCCTTCCTCCTCGTGACTCCATGATGGTTTTACCAGGATTCCAGGACATAGAAAAACAATGCTCTTTTCTCCTAACTGTCAGAATATCTTCCTGTTCTGACTGCTCTGATTTTCCTGATGTGAACAGCACTGTTGCAGTATCTAGGCCCCAGGTCTCATCCTCTCTGATTTTCTGTCTACCATTTGTGGCCCATCAGTTGTTTCATTCTGTTCATTTCTTTTTCACCTTTTTTACTCCCTCTGCCTCTGCTCTAGTTTCCACCCTTCATTACCTCTGTCATAGTCAATTGGAATCATCTCCTAATTGCTGCCTAGCTTTTCTTATTGCTTTTACCAAAACATAGATATTTTATGTAATCTGTGATTGTAAACTTTGTCTAGTATGTCTACTAACAGAACAAAAACCAATTCTTAGAAGTATTTTCTAGTTGCCAAAAAAAACCAATTTTTTAAACATTTATTTATTTTTATTGGAAAGGCAGTCATACAGAAAAATCTTCTGTCCAGTAGTTCATTCCACAAGTGGTTGTAATGGCCAGAGCTCAGCCTATTGGAAGTTTCTTCCAGGTCTCCCATGTGGGTGCAGGGTCCCAAGGCTTTGGGCCATCCTTGACTGCTTTCCCAAGCCGTAAGCCGGGAGCTGGATGGGAAGTGAAGTAGCTGGGACATGAACTGGTGCCTGTGTGGGATCCCAGTACAAGCAAGGCGAGGATTTTAGCTACTGAACCATTGTGATAGGCCCACCAAAGATACAATTTAAAGTCCATTAGTGACAGACTTTACTGCTATTGGTTTTGTCTAGCCTGAAGAGTTCTTTGTTGTTTCTCCAGCAACTCCCTCCATGTGCTTTCCAAAGTAAAACATAATCCTGTTTTTTTTTGTGTGTTTAGGCTCCTGGGTTCCACCGTTCTGTTCAGACTACCAGCCTTCCATCAGGGCTCACATAGTTTCTAACTCCACTTTTCTGTTTTTTTTCAAAGCTTACTTTCAAAACGTTTTTCAAAATTCCATACCTTCTTTATCAGTTTCTGGGATTCTCATGTGTTGTAAATTCTCTCATATTTATCTTTCACCTTCCATCTCCTAGCACACAGCACATTATCTGGGACAGTGCATCATAAAATGATCATGCATATTTCTAATATTTTTCCTTCTTTGTGCTTCAATAAGATCAGTTGATTTCTGTTTGTGAATAATCTCATTAAAACTACTTTTAGTTTCAGTATAATTTTAAATTTATGTTGTAAAAGTTGTGAAGGAGTAGGGCTGGTGCTGTGGTGTATCACACTGATCCTGCGAGTGTGGTACCGGCGTCCCATTTGAGCAGTGATTTGAGTTGTTTATTTTATAACATTGTTTGAAGTAGTACAAGGAGATCCCATATACTGCATAACCATCTTCTGCGGTTTTTTAATCCAAACTCTCTCTTTCCTAATGCTCCCAACACTCTCCTGTAGTAATCAATTTTTCATATTCACAGTAATATTTCAAGAACAGCATTATTCCCCCCAAATTTTCTCTCTCACAATCATCTTGACTAATATTTGTGTGTGTGTGTGGTTTCATATGAACTGAAGAATAGTTTTTTCTAATTCTGTAAAAAATATTATTAATATTTTTGATAGGGATTAATTGATTGCCTTACATGGGATACTTTAATGATGATTCTTCCAACTCATGACTAAAGAATATATTTACTTTTTGTGCATGTGATTATTTCTTTCATTCTGTTTTTAAATAATTCTCATTATAGAAATGCTTTCCTTCACCGTTGAATTTATTCCTAAATATGTGATTTTTTGATACTTATTGTAAATGTTATTTATTTCTTGAGTTTTTATTCATCAGTATCATTATTGACATGTAAAATTGCTACTGCTTTTTTTATATGTTGATTTTGTAACCTGCAACTTTACTGAATTAGCCTCTGAATTCTAATAACTTTTGGTGTGGTGTTGATGTTTTCTGTAGATGAGATCATGTCATGCTGAAATATAAATATTATGATTTTGTTTTTTCCAATTCAGCTGCCTTTTCTTTCTGTTCCTTAATTGTGCTTCTTAATGCTCCCAGTAATGTAATAAATAAGAGTAGTGAAGATGGATATCTTTGTCTTATTCAAGATTAAAGGGAAAACACTTTTTGCTTATTCTTAATCAGTGTTACATGGACTATGAGTTTATGTATACCCTTTATAATTTTGTGTATGTTTCTTGTATAGCTAATTTGTTAACAGCTTTTATTATGAAGGAATATTGAAGCTTATCAGTTGCTTTCCCTGTGTCTGTTTACGTGGGCATTTAGTTTATATTTTTATTCTATATCTGTGTGTGATGTGTCATACTTTTTTACTTTGTGAATATTGTACCACCCTTGCTTCTTAGAATAAATCTCAGTTGATTGTGGTGCATGATCATTTTGATGTAGTGTTGGATTGGTTTGCTAATATTTTGTCGAGAATTATTACATCTATGTGCATTAAGGGTTTTGGTCTGCGATATTCTTCCTGTGTTTGGTTTTTGAAAGCTGAGTGATGCTGGCTTAAAAAATTTAACTTTGTAGAGTTCTATTCTCAATATTTTGGAATAGTTTGAAGAATGTTGGAATTAGCTCATTCATTAACATGAATTGAATTCATATTAAAGGCACAGTTCCATGGAGAGAGAAGAAGGGAGAGTTAGAGATTTCCCATTCATTGTTTTACTCCACAAGTGATCACATTGGCCAAGGGTAGGCTAGACTGAAAGTAGGAGTCAAGAAATTCTGTTAGATTTCTTACACGGGAAGCAGGGCACCAGGTACTTGGGCCATCTTATAGCTCCCAGTCTGTTAATTGAGCTGAATCTCAAGTGGAGGAGACAGAAAATGACCGATGTTCATATGGGATGCTGGCATCACAGGCCTCACGTTGATCTCCTATACCACGATGCCAATACCAAAATTTATTCCTTTCTGAATGTTTTAGTCTTCAAGTGTAAGGCCTCATATCTTGGGCTTTTCTTTGAGTTAGACTTTTAATTACTGCTTTAAACTCGTTACTGATTATGGTTTTCTTTCTTGGCAGTTTATGTGTATTCATGAATTTATCCATTTCCTACAGATTTTCCAGTTTGTTACCGCACAGCTGTTCATAACAATTGCTCCTGATTCTTAATATTCCTGTGCTATCAATTATGATGTATCATTTTTCATCTCTAACTGTATTTAACTTTTCTCCCTTTTTTTCTTTTTTAGTCTGGCTAAAATTTGTCCTTCTTTTATATTTTCAAAAGAAATATTTTTGTTTTGTTGATATTTTATACTTTCTTGGTACTTGTTCTATTCCTTCTAGTTAAAACTTGTTCCCATACCTCACAATCAATGAAGTCTCCTGTGTATTTTAAAAGTATGTTTATGGTCACTTATTTAAAAGATAGAATAAAAGAGCTAAAGAGAGATACAGAGGTAGAGATAGGCATAAAGTAAAGATCTTCTATCCATTATTCACTTCCCAAATATCAGCACCAACCAAGTTTGGGCCAAGTCAAAGCTAAGAGCCTGGAACCCCATCCAAGTATTGCATTTGTTGGCAGGGACCAGACCACTTGGATGATCATCCATTTCCTTCCAGGTAACATTAGCAGGAAGCTGGATCATGAGTAGCCAGGAATGGAACTGACTCTAATATGGGATCTGGGTATCCCCAGCAGCAACTTAGCCTACTGTAACACAATAGTTACAATAAGACTCATACATTTTGTCTAGTTTCTTCTCAAATATATTTATGCTTTCTCTCATAAAAATCTGGAATAATTGCCCCTGCTTTTTTTCCTTTATAGGGCCTTTAGGGGAATGTCATTATGTTTCTAGTCTTGAAATTCTCACTCTGATTTAGCAGATTTTTGGAATCAACTTTTGCACATTTTGTGGCACAGACTTCCCAACCCCTATATAGTGCCATGTACAGAAAACAAGAATGAATGATAATGGCACTGTATTGACAAGAATTGGGAAAATCCATCCATTCATTCATTTATTCATTCATTGAATTCATATGTGTATTAAGTTCCCACAGTATGTATAAGGTACTATATTAAGGACCCAGAGTGCAGAGATAGACATAGTTACGTGGAAGTCATAATTACATGGAAAAATAAACATGTGAATAATAACAATAGGTGTCCTTATATAGTAAAGTACTGGGTGACAAAAATTCCTGACTCTGTTAGGGTCAGTAGGTTGGGGGTACACACATGGCCAAGAGGAGGAGGTTGAGCAACTAAAGCTTTTTGTGGTTGGGATTGCCTAGTGTGAGCTTTGAGATCTGAATAAGAGTTTGCGGAAAAGCCGGTGAGGTAAGAAATAGTAGAATTCGGAAGTTAAAAGTCCAAAAAAGTTATTTCCCATGCTCTCAGGGGCACAGCACATGAAGCTAGCCTGGTCACCACATGATTATTTTTTGTCCTCAAACAGAATCCTTTGATTCTTAGAAAATAAAATGAAAAAGTAAAATGAATAAAGGGATCCCTGTGACTGCTTCTTGTTGAGAAATCATTCTTTTATTTTTTTTTATGTTTTGTAGAGAAAGTCTGTGATTGCAGTGAGCTTCATAGCAGCATTTCTCTTCCTGCTGATTGTGCGTCTTGTAAATGAAGTGAATTTTCCCTTGCTACTAAACTGCTTTGGACAACCTGATGCAAAATGGATACCATTCTCCTACACGTACAGGCGGCCCCTTCGAACTCATTATGGATATGTAAATGTGAGGACACAAGAGGTAAGAACCTAAAAGTTTAACCATGGTTCAGAGGCTCTTCAAAGTAATGGCTTTTCCTTAGGAGCAAAGTGGCTTTCAGGCCACTGAATCTACTCCCTGTCCCAGAGGGCTTCTTTAGGTTCCTGACAGCATCCTCTTTTTTGTCCTTCTTAGACACTTACTGACAGGTGTCTGAAATGCACTGCCCCATCTACACTAAGTCTTCTGGTGAACTGGCTTCATATGGTGTCAGGGAAGCAATTACCTGTTTTCCTGGTGGTTTGTGACATGCCATTTATATCCTTCCATACAGAGACTCTGATCAGCAGTGACCAGCTGGAGAACTGGCTGGCTTTATTTCCTGTGGGTCAACTGGTTGGGGAAAGACAGCTCTTTATAGAACTTCAGAAAAGCATTTGTACTCTTTAAAACTCTGTAATCCTTAGACCTGCAGCTAGAAAAGGCCAAGCTGATTTTAAAATTCGCAGTGGCTGCAGAGATAATGGGATTTAAAGAGTTTCCAAATTTAGAGGGGTTAAAATAATTTAAATCCTATAATCTCTGAACCTTTAAACCTTTGTAGCTAGTTGGTAGTATATGGAAGCAAATGGAGGTGTATTGATAATTTCAAAGTACACACTGTGCTAGCTAGCACTTTAGCCAGCAAGTATTTATCCTATAAAATAATAATTAAAAACTGAACCCCACAACATGTGGGAAATGTACAGAATGGGTTAATAAAATTGTTTTTACTGTTCATTTCTGAGCAGTGGGATGAATATGAGGTTAATATTCATGAATCCAAAGGCCAAGCTTATTTGACAATGTTGCTGACAAAGGTATAGCCCGCCAGTCTGCCTACCTCTTTGGTGAGGGTTTGGGATCCCATGGAGAAATCATTTTGTGAAGAAATGAAAGGAGTGTCATGCACAGTGCCTTCCTCCCATTCTGGAATTATTCTTAGCATCATGGGAGGGATGCTGAAAGCTGGCATGGTGTGTCCTTGTTTGCAGGCAATGTGGTATCTGAGTCATTGCTTCTGGTTAATTTGATCCTTTGAACATTGCTTCTGTTTCTGCAGGATTTACAAGCTTTTAAAAAAGCATTTTGCTGAAAAATGCGCCATTTTGGCAGATAAGTTCCAAGAAGCTTTGCTTGTTTTTTATTCTTTAACTGGTTTTAAACTAATGTTTTTGAATAATCTTTTGCTTGATTTTATTGTCTGATTAACTATATATAAAAACATGCTTCTTTGAGAATAGTTTGCTACATCCTCATCTTTTGGTAACTTTCATTTCTGACTGTCATTTGTGTATGCTTTCAAAACCCTAAATTGTTGCGTTAGTCATTTCACATGTGAATATTACTGGTTGACACATGATTGAATTATCTTATCAGTGACTCTCATATGGGAAATCTCACTAGCTATCAAATCCTCCTCATGGTATTTCAGCATTGAAGAGTTGAGTTATGGGGTGTTAAAAGGAAAACTGATGTAGGGACACAGTTACTTAACTAGTGAAATTAACCAAGCTACTTTTGAATTACTTTGGGTAACATGTGTAGCAAATTTTACTTTACCAGAGGATAATGCATGCTATTTTGCTTCTTCATAGGTTATTTCTTGAGAACAATCTTGATTAATGGAATGATTTCAGGCTTAGGAAACACAAAGGTGTGGTTTTGGGGTTTCACATTAGACATTCATATTTTGAAAAGCAGTATATTACTTTTGGATAAATTTCTTAATGTTTGAGTCTCAGTTTCTTTACTTGCAAAGTACAAATGGCAACTTCCACCTGCCAAAGTGATTATGAGTCCAACATGGGATAAAATACATGAGATTTCCAGCTCTGAATCGTTGTTTAGTGAATAGTTTCTAGTACTTTCTCTGTACTTAACAGCATGACATAAAGCATTCAGTTGATAAACACCAAAATGCCGAAGTCTGGAGTGCCAGAATTTATTTTAATATACTAAAGATTCTGTACTCAAGGCAATAAACACATGAACAGATTTCCAATCTTATTGGTAGTCAGAATTTTCTAAACTACCTGCATAATGAGCAAAAAAAAAATTATAAAAACTCAAAGAATATCACTGTACCCTAAATTATCAATCAGACAGGAAATTATGTGGCCTGGTGGTAGCAGGTATTGGTGAAAGTCTATGTATTAGTAACAGAAATATCAATTAGAATAACCACTTTGGAAAAATGCGTTATGTTGTGAACACGAAGAGGAGCTAATTGAAAGATTTGAAGTACCCACAATGGGGCAGCCATATGGCAAAGCAGTTAAGATACCACCTAGGGACTGTCCTATCCCATATCCCATTCTGGTTTGGCTTCTGACGCTACTTCTGTTTGAGCTTCTTGTCACTACACATCCTGGGAGGCAGCAGGTAATAGCTCAGGTAATTGGGTCCCTGACACAAACATTGGACATCTTGATTGTATTCCTTGCTTCCGGCCTCGGCCTGGCCCAGTCCTAGCTTTTGCAGGCATTCGGAGGTGTGAACCAATAGATGGAGGGCATTTCTCTGTCTCTTGTTTTCTGTCTTTGACTTTCAAATAATCAATAAATAAGTAATTTTAAAAATCCCTTTGTGTAAATGACAATCTAATGTATAATGAAATTCGTGATAATTTTCTACTCTGATTCCACCATTCCATTTCTCAACCCTTGCAGTTATTAAAGTTCTTTTCTTTGAGGGAAGATGAAATCTCAAACTGTAAGGAAGCAAAATGATGCTAACTGAGCAGATGCTGGAATTATGAAAGTCTTTGTTGACTGCAAAACCCTGAAGGTCATCATTATTCAGATTTGAGCTGACCACATTCAAGAGGCTGCACCACACTGAAGCCAGGCATAGGAGTCGTTTAGGTTTTGTGGCTAATTCTATGTATAGCCCCCATGTACTGCACAGCCTCATCATCTCTGACTCCTTCACTGCTCACGCTTGCCTTGCTGTATCTCCACAGTGCCAGGAAGGCCACCTCTCATTTTTAACAGTGGAAACACCATCTACAAGATTATTGTCATGCTTCCTTGCATGTGGCAAAAATACATGTGACCTATGCATGTTTCTGAAACAGTAATAAAACTGAGAAATCTGTGCTTGGTAATGTTTTGTGAATCCTCCATTCTCCTTAGCACAAATTCTAACTATTCATTCTGAGTTACTAATCAGAGCAGATAGGGAAGACAAAGGACTGAATTACCCAGGGGCTGGGTTTAGGGTAATCACTCCTTCTCCCTGTTGTCATCATGGTAGATGTGGAGGTAAATACAGGCAAAGAACTTCAGGCTAAGTTCTATTTGTGGTTTTTAAACCTTGGACTCAGTCATAATACTGTCTTTTTTGTTGTATGACATGGTGTGAGGGTATTGCTCACAGCATACAGCCTGCAGTTTATTTGCATTTGCTACTCAGTAAAAGAATCAAGCTATGGTGATCAATAGGATATCACAGCCAGATCTTTTTGGTGGTCGGTGGGGGTGACAGATGTCTCTCTTACATGCGATAAGAGAACTGTAACACACTGGAACAGCAGGAGACTGCTGGCATTTGTGCAAGAGGAAATTTTCACAGAGGCTTAAAGATGTGGTGAGAATCATGGTATTTCCAGGAGGCAGCAATCAAGTGGAGGACTGCATTTTCCTTTGCTTAACAATTTAATGAGGCCCAAGTATGCCTCTTTAAAAATGAGAACATTATGAAGCCTCAAGTAGACTGAGTAAGAATATTTAAGATGAGTTGCTGTGACAGACAGGCTGCAGTAGCCTAATTAAAGATGTGCATAACATATTGATGTTCCAATAGAATTTCCCAAATTGTGGTTATAGTAACAATTAAGGAACAGAGATGACTTTCTTGGCAATAAAAGCACACATTCCACACATTCAAATAAATGTACACATGTAACTAAAGCTGACATGAATAAGATTTCTATATTTGATAATATGGGCTTTGGATTTAACATAAGTATATTGAGAGCAATTACATGCAAATGTATGTTCTAAAAGTTTAATTGTTAATTAAAATCTGAATATTCCCACTCATGTAACTATAGAGCTAAAGAAGTTTCAACTATTAAGTTGCCTTAGAAAAGGAAACAACTAAATTTACAAGACATAAATATTACTTATTTGACATGCACATATTGGATTTGTCATTTTAAGGATAAATTACTACATTTTCCAAGTATGAGTGTATGTGTTTTTTTGAAGGAAGGAGCAATCGTTATGTTTCTTAGTTTGGTTGTGAAGCAGCAAGTCTCATTCAGTGACTATATTGTAACCAAACCTATGGTTGAGTGACAAATGGGAGGGACAGACATCCCCATACATTGGAATAATTCCAGATAACTTTTGTGAGGGGGTGAGGCACATGTTTAGATGGACATAAATCTAACAGAGAGGGAAGAGAACACAGTATTAGAAAAAGAAAAGGAGCAACAATTTAAAATATGTTCTCTGTTCTTTTCTTCAGTTTTAACCATTCATAGTAAGCCAAGGATGCAACATTAGAAGTCATACGCAGATCACCATTGGTTTCACACTCCACCAATTCATTTTATACCTTTATCTGGACTCAGTAGCTTTACTACAACCTTGTGGTTATTCTCTTTGCCTGATTACCCAGTCCTGGAGTGCTCTGACTGTGATCCTGCTACTCTGCAAACTGCACACAAGTAATTTCATTTTATTTCTTTTCTCTCCTCTTCTCTTCTCTTCTCTTCTCTTCTCTTCTCTTCTCTTCTCTTCTCTTCTCTTCTCTTCTCTTCTCTTCTCTTCTCTCCTTTTCCTTTCCTTTCCTTTTCTTTTCTCTTTTTTTCTCTTTTCTAAGATTTATTTACTGTTATTGGAAAGGCAGATTTACAGAAAGAAGGAGAGACAGAAAGATCTTCCAACCACTGGTTCACTCCCGGAGTGGCCACAACAGCCAGAAATGGGCTGATCCAAAGCCAAAAGCCTGAAGCTTCTTCCAGGTCTTCTACATGGGTGCAGGATCCCAAG